ATGAATCTTGCCATTTATAGCTGAGTTAACTATAGACATTAGGTTCAGAGTTTCGTAAGAATACTGGTTAAGCATGACTCCAAATAGGAATGCCTGTTCCAATAGCCTCGTCTTGAATTCTAGTTTATTGAGTGTCTGTATGAGTCCTTTCGTTTGGTTTTGTAGATATTGAAGATTTTAATCGAGTTTTTGCTGGTGTCGTAAGAGTTTCTTTGTTTGACGATCCGTCTCCACTTGCGTGATTCAAAGTAATCGACTTATTGTGTAAAAAAAAAAATACAGACATGTTAAGAATTTTGAAAGTTTAGTTTTTAAACATTTTATTCAACTATTCGTATATTATTTTTTCTGTATAGAACTATTTTTAACACATTGACGGACAGTGAGGATTGTCAAAAATAAGATAAAGCATGCCTAAATAAATCAATGTTTTAGTACTGCTATAGCAGTAGTGTCCCATTACATAAAATGTTGATGTACGTATGAAAAAATGTTATAATACTGCTATAGCAGTAATACAATTTTTTTTCATTCTTAGCACATATTTTGTACAAACAATGAAGAATAAATAAGTAATTAATAAAAAGATAATAATTTTAAAGATGATAAGATTTATTACAGCAAATAAAAACATATTAATAATAATAAATGTATTAAATTTATACCAAACTTTTAACAAAGGTAAAAAAAAATAGGTTTCTTTACCTATATTACTTTTTTTATCAATATTAATACGTAAACTAAATTGTTTTTTATACATAGTATTCTATTATTTTGTCTTTACTCCTTATGCCAACTTTCGAAACATTTACCTGCGCAGAGTGGTACTGTACATTCTTTGCACTGCAATTGTGTTTGTTTTCTTGTTTTATTTTTAGTACATTGCTTGCAATTTTTAAAATACTTGCTTCTTTTGAAGTTTTCAGGTACTGGGATAGGTTCTTGATAATGTTTATCGTCTGGTGCTTCATTTGGTTATTTGAGTTTTTTTTTTATTTTTTAGATGGAATAAATCAGTTGCAGTTACAGTAGGTGAAATTTGCCAAAAAATTTTTATAATTAATCCGTATATTATAATAACTTATTATGCACCCGTGAAATTGGTATTATTATTACGTAGTAACTTGCTTACTACACAATAAACATTAAATATCATGCCAAAAAAACAATGTAGTATTAAAACCTGTTTAAAATCTAGTTTGTTATTTACTATTCAGACGAAAGATGAGGATTTCTTTAAATGGCAACAAGCTTGTAAAAGTATGTAGATTTAAAACGTGGTATGTATTTATGCAGTTTTCATTTTGCTGAAGAAGATATTGTTCGAAAACGGTTATTATAGCATCTGAAGGAACTGTTTTTGGTGTAGGTAGTAAGTTCATCTTTATGATTACAACATTCAATATTATTTAGTATTAATAACAACATTATCAAAAAATTCACTAAAATTAAATTTTTAACTAACTTCTTTATTGTATTTAGAGTGATTATAAAAAGCCTAGACTCAGACATGGAAGTATACCATCAGTATTTGAAGATAATATGGAAGCTCAAAATAAATTTGACAAATATTTTAGTCCACCTACTAATTTTAATCATGTAATATTGTACTACTGTAAAACCACCCAGCTGAAACTTTTAGTCCTCACACTGAAATGCAAACTCCCCAAAATAATGAGTTCGTTAAGCAGTACCTTGACTCTCAACTTCCTCTCTGCCTACCCACTAAATCCTTTACTCTAAATGATGTTAAATTCTCTATACAGAAATACAGTCTTAAAAAATCCATAGATTATGATTTAATCACTGCGGAAGTTGCCAAATGTCTCCCAAAAAAGAGAAATTGTTCTGCTAACAGTCTTATTTAACGCTGCCCTAAGATTGGAATATTTCCCACTACTTTGGAAATTTGCAATCATCATTTCATTAACTAAACCACAAAAGCACATATCGGTGGATGTGTGACCAAATATATAGGGCCCATGTGCAGAGGCACTACTATGAGGGATTTTCTTAATCATTAGTAAAAAAAAACATGCTAATCGATGGTAAATACAAATAATTAATTAATATTATTGATATAATAATAATATTATATTGTACATGGTGTACGCAGTGTAGATGCTAAACCTAAGACAGTTCAGCTGGTTATGATTATAGTGATTATATTATTGGCAATTGGGATTTATCAATAATATTTCATAATTTCATAAAAAACTATAAATAGGGGAAATATGTTTTGTACAGTCATAAATCATAATTACGTCTTATATGGCGTGTCTTGGAGATGCGAGTTGCACGTTGATAACTATAAGCTTATTAGTCACTAGGTATAAATTAATAATATATAATAATCTTCTATTTTAAAATAACAAATAAATATTTTAAAAGAAAACAATGTTCCAAATAGTTCGGCCACTAGCCCTGGGGCCATTGTTATGATTTAACGGGGCCTGGGGGTTATTTGCACAACTAGCATCCCCGGTTTTTGCTGCACTGAAGATCAGGTACAAGCATGCATCAGATCGAATTTTTGAACGTTGCCTACCAAGGTAGATGAGGTGCACTTTGTCCGCAATCAGACGTAGTCGGATTGCCTACTAGGATGGCTGAATTTCACTTACTGCAGCGAGTTACACCTAAAAGGAGTTGATCAATCATAATTTTTTTAAGAGTTGTAATTACTAAAAGAGTGCTCGGGATCACCTAGTAATATATATAATTAAATAGGTTATAAAGTTGAAGTTATAACAAAACTTTGTTATTTATGATTTTGAAATTGATGATAGGTGGTGTGCCCGGAAAAGTCCTCCCCACGAGTTTTGTATACAGAATTTTAGCACCCCCTAAAATTAAGCTCTAGTTACGCCTATGTTATCAATGACGATTAACGAGGCTTACATTTCATATACATATGATTATATGAACATAAAATATCGATGAAAAAAATATGATACGTATTTTGGGATTTTTAGGTTTCTGTATGTATAATTTATGAGGAATCTTGTATTACATTTTTAAAACATAAGTTTGAAAATTGAAAATTAAAAATGTATGCATTTCTTTTGATTAACTTAAAAGTTTGTGTACCTAATGCAAAATAACAAAATAATTTTTTCTAAATTTTTTTAACCGTTGCGAATAAAATATGTATGTTATTCCTTAATGTTTTTGTTAGTTTTTTAAATCATTTTTAAAAACGATATTTTTATACTTTTGCTCCAGAGTACAAACTATAACCAATTTTGTGCCAGAAACATTTTTCAAAGTAATTTATAAGAACAATTTATCTTCTACGAATGAATACCAAATACATTATTGGAGGGCTCAGAATCTAAAACATTATTATACTTACATTATGTCATTATCCATGTAGATTGTTCATTGTACATTTTTATTTGTATCTGATATGTTTAGGTACTATAGTTTCAATTACCGTGTTAATGAAAAAAATAAGAATTTTTAATTATAAAATTTAAATATGATAGGAGTTACTGTTATCTATGTTGAGAGCTACTCTGATTATTATTGTTGATAAAATATTCGGTAACATTGCACTCGAAATGTTGAAATGTTGACCTTGCGTTACAGTTCCCTGCATTTAGGCTACATCAATATGACAATATCCCGTATATTATCCCTCCGCTACTTGCTTTACTTTAAATAATATTAAACCTTTTATTTATTTTAAACGTACAACGTTCAACTATATGTCGAATTACTTTTTATAATACCTATGTAAAAACTCACACATTTGATCAAAATAACATTTGTTGTTTTTGGGCAGTCCAAAATAGAGCGTCTAGATTTTTTTCACTCATGCAAAGAAAGTTTAGTTTTTGATGACGGTTGAAGCGTTGAAAAGCGATCTTTTTCAGTCCAGACGCCTATCACGCGTATCCCCTGACTCAACCAAACACTGAAATTTGTACCACGGCCCTTACAAAAGATAAACTTTTGGTTACATCTTATATTTATATTATAACCTCCATGCATGACGCTTAAAAAAAATAAAACCAAATCGTTTCTTTTGTGATATATTGTTTATGCATAATAGTCTGGTTGTTGCATAGATCCCTGCATTACCTTTGCCGTGATCGATGAAAGCAGAGGCGTGACAAAAAATACCTAGTATGTGTGACTCACTGACTCGTGTGGGGGAAATTTCAGTCTTAGGCGAAAGCGGACCTTGCCCAGGTATGGCCGAATTGCATTAACTTTAGTCGAACTGCACTTGGGCTCAAAAAAAGTATTCCAACAAAAATATCATACATTTGAAGGGGTAAACGAATATAAAACACTCATTTCCCCTCCTACATATAGGCTTAGTACTGACTATGATTAATTAATATACATATATTAAATCATCAAATATTATTATTGTCATTATTATAACTTTTTTTTTAAAATTATTTTGATAATTTTTAGTAGTAACTGTAGGTATAGATATAATTTTAGATTCTGAGCGGATCGAATAACCTAGTGGTTTTACAATGGTGGTTTTTTTTTTTTTTTTTATATCCTGTATACAAAATATCTACCAGAAGAAGTGCTTCGATTTCAACATATAGTGGCTTATCTTTTAGCAAATTGGTACTATAGAAAGGTAATTTTTCGATTTTCTCAACAGTTATTTAATAGCACAGGAAAAACCACTGACAAATTAAGAAAAACCACTAAAAATGGGATTTTAATTTCTGACGCTTTGTAATTTAATATTTAAATTTTTTCTATTATACTTTCTTAGTTACTTAATAATATAATTATTTACCGTTGCATTTAGTATACATTTTTTCAAATTAGTTTTTCCCTTATGAGTAATAAACAATCGTAGTATACAATCGTACAATAATAAATTACTATTATGGATAAGAAAAATATTTTTTATAAACCTATTTAAAGTTAATATTTATACATATTCACTAGTAAAGTATATATGCACATAAATATATATAATAATTTATGAAGCTCCAGGCGACCTGAGAGTGTACATTTAATTTCTATTTTTGTAGAAGCCCTTTCATGGTGCTGTTATCCTGGCCTGGAAGAAACTTAGTAATTGGATTGGGTGAAGTTCCGGGAGTCGGCGCTCTTCCTAATAAAAATAGGAGCATGGATCCGTCCGGCCAATATCGCATCCCCTTAGGGAGCATTGGCAGATCTTCCCGTCCCAAAAGAGCCGATAACCCGTCGCACTGGCTTATATCAAATGTCTCTCCTGTTACAGGCTTACTAATCACCATCCGGATTGATCTAATATCCATTTCGATATCGTTAACCACATGGTACATCTGTGAGCAGACCGGAAAAAGACATATAGAAAGAAAGAAAACTAATTAATAATAACTTATATAATATATTTTATTATCATTATAGGTACACTGAAATCCATCCTTAAGAGGACGCTACCCATGTATTTGTTGTCTCCGTCTTACACACGCACGACATACCAAATTTCCATTCGCTAGTTTAAATAGTGTGTTGTTAGTTTTAATATTAGAGTAAATTGACCTATTATCATACTATTAGGTAAGAATATTATCTGTGCTTAAGCGTTGGCGATTTTTAAATATTTTCATTTTCAAGTAAGATATTTGTAAGTGAAATATCAAAAGTTTAAAATGCTCATATCTCGCTTGAAAATTAAAATATCGAATAAAAGCCAACTCTTAAGCACAGATAATGTGCATTATCTAAATATGTTTAATAGGTCAATTCACTCTAGTATCAAAACTAATTGCATTCTATTGAAACTAGTGAACGACAATTTGCTATGTCGTGCGTGTGTAAGACGGAGACAACAAATGTATGGGTAGCGTCCTCTTAATCTCCATCAACAATTATTGTCGATGAAGTTTAGTTTTAAATCTTCAGATTTCACACTAAGATTAAAATAATTAATATACTAGTGTTATTAGAGTAAAGAAATTTGCGATCAAAAACAATCAGTTAAACCACTGATAACTATAGTTCATTTTAATGATTTTTTTGTTCAATATTTATTTTTTTTTAAAAGCCCAAGGAAAGTAGTTGATTTGTGTTCATTGGTTATTAGATGTTATGTTTAACTTAATATATTATATTTATTCGTTAGGTATAAAAAATAAATAATAATATGTGCATCATCAAACCGATGAATAGTATAATTTGGTGAATTTATATAATATAGATAATATAACAGAAAAACCTGTCATATTAAATAACTAAAATAACTATTGTTCTATCAATATTTTCTATTTTTTTTTTATATAACTTATCGATTCCAGTGCTAAACGTATAAAATAAAAAAATATTTTTATTTTTTAACACTGAAAATAAATAATTTTAAACTTGATCTCAATTTTTTTTTTTTAAATAACCAACTTGTAAGTCTGGTTTTTAGAAAACTATTTACTATAAAAACATTTATCTAAGTCAAGTGGTATATTTTTTATGATTTTTTAAAATGTCAAATGTTTTTGAAGTAACATTCATTAATTTGAAAAATAATAAAGTTTTAAAAAATAATTAGATTTCAAAAAATACCCATTAAAAAATGTCGATAAAACATTTAAAAAAAGTTCAAACTTTTTTTATTTAAAATGTTTTTTTACAACTGGATTAACTCAACTCAACTTAACAAAAATAATGATATTTGAAAATTGTTTAAAAAATAAACTAGGTATTACTTAAATACATTTTCTTACAACTCGACATTTTTCGATAACCTAGATTTACAAATTGTCTATTTTGAATTTTTCAAAAAATATGTACATGAAGTTTAAAATTTTTATTTTTACTTTTAGAATAAAAAATGGTATACTATACCTATATGTAACCCAAGTGCCAGTAAACGATAGAATAAAATTAAAAATTGTTGTCTAAATACAACATTTTTTTAATTTTTCTGGTCTTCTTGTTACACCCTGTATACATCACGAGGTCCTAAATAATTTGAATAGGTAGGTATGCAAAATTATACGTTTAATTATGTTGAGAGGGTTGAGTGGGCGATTAATTATCGTTTGCTAGCAATACCTATTTCTACGATTATAATATTTGCTTGTTAGACCTATCATTCATTTTTAATTATTACAATAAACTACTTTCTAAAAGTAAAATTTTTATATTAATTATCTTAGTAGGTACAGTGTACACTAATAGTAAGTGTTAGGTGTATCACCAACCACCCACGTAAAAACAAAAATCTTTTATGTATATTGTGTATAAGAAATAAGAATGATCCTCAATCACATGTGTGTCCCTCCACCAGTTGAATAATTAAGTCAGTTGTACGAATTCGTTTACTGCAATAATATATAATATAAAATAACACATAAACATATAATATACTCACGGCACATCTATAGGATTTCTTTGTGGTTATATTTTTATATTGATGACCTGCAGTATATTCCAGTAGTGATGCATACCTCCAGTTGTTTAGATATTCTACTTTATCGGTTGGTACAAATCTTGACATACATTTGAACATGAAGTGGTCCATTTCTGATAGAGCACATCGACAGAACAAAATATACAAGAGTATAATGAATTTTTTTGCTCGGGAATAATTTTTGTTGACACAAGTAATATTTAGTGATTTTTACGTTTGCGTGAGTATACATTAGACGTACTTTTTATTACCGGCCTGGTCTTATACTATGTAAGCATGGCCCCCCACATGATTTGGGGGGGGGGGGTATTTGTACCTGGAGTGCATGGGCCCGAATATTTTAGGGGCCCGTTGCAATAGTATGTATTGAATGATGACTTTTATAATAAATTATCTTTAATAAGACAATTAATATAATATAATATAATAATGACATGGACTTTGTCAATGAGACAACCAATATTCCACTTTTTCATTTGATTATTGTTAAAACAAACATCAAAACAAATCACAAGTGATTTACAAAACAACACTAAAAATAGTACATAGTTTTATATTACCTATCTCATAAGTTTATTTGTCTATCATTTACTTTTAGTATTACCCTTAAAATGATTATGGGTAGGTACAATATGTTATTTTACGAATTTGAATTATTATCATGTTTAACAGATGTCATAATACATAATATAATATAAACACAGGGTCTCCACAATGGGGGGGGGGGGCTATTGGGCCTTGAGTACAGCGACTCGGCTATTTTAGTTACTTGTTGAAATGAATTTGTAATTTTTGAAATTTTGATAGGAATACTTATTTTATATTAAATATTATTTTATAATATAATTACTGCATATTATAATAATATTATATGCATATGATATTAAGTTACTTTGTTATTTTAAGCTGTGGGTTATCCATTGATTACCTAGAAATCGTGTATAGGGCATTCATATCGCTTGTAATGGGTTGTGTTTTATTTGCAGTTTTGTATAGGGCCCGGAAAAACATTTAGTAAGGGGGCCCAATATCTGTTTTGGGGGGGGGGCTGATATATATACACCATTACACATTTACACCCGTGATTAATTGTACAATGATTCTGAGTTTTAATATAATTTATACTGTTCTCCCTAATATAGTAGGTAGTAGGTACCTAATATTAATATAGGTAGTATAGAAATATCAAATAATATGTGTGCAAAGCGCAAGCAAGTGTGATATGTTATTAATATACAAACACACTACCTACAGAATAACGATCATAATTCATAATATTATAGTTAATTTTAAATTATTTATAATTAGTTTTATATTGAGCAGTACAACCCAAAGTTTTATAAAGCTGTGACGCCCCGTGAAAAATGCCCCCTCCTTTCACACAGCCATGTAAAACACACACACATATACATACATATAATTTACATATACTATAAATCTGTGAAATAAACATTGTATTCTGTGTACATGCGTATATGTATATTAATAGTAGTAGGTACTTTCGAAAACTGTCACGACAGACGAAGATAATATTGTGCGTTTATAGTACATTTCAGTAGATACAACTATACAAGTAGAATAATAATATAGGTAATGTATGATATTATGCTAGGGGCTTGCAAACGTTATAATAACGTTCTATTTGACAAAAAAACGATTGAAAATTGTAAACGTAATTATAAGGAAGAGCGATAATCAAAAATAATTAAATACCGCAAAACAAAATATAACGATTAACAAAATATAATATTGTAAATCATTGACCGAAAAATAACGCAAAACAAAATATTTTAAAATCTATTTATTTAAAAGGTCTATTGGTTTCGTATAGAAACATTTATTTCATGAGACAATCTAAGAATTGATTATATTATATTTCGTATCCGGGCCATTACCTAACCTAATTAGCTATTATTTTTAAATTGTATAGGTATATTAACACTATTTTAAATAACGATAAACTTAAAACTTTGATAAAGTTTTAATTCTGTACAACGATAAACACAAAACTAGAATAACGTTTTAATGTCTAATAAAGATAAACGCTAAGTTGAATAACGTTTTAATTGTAAATAACATAAAACAGAATTTTTTTCAAATGCAAAAGCCCTGTATTATGCTCATAGCTATAGCCGGGGAGAGCTTTCCTTCAGCCACAGGCGGAGTGCACCTAACCCGTCCACCCCCATTGTGCATTTGTGAATTTATGATGTAACAATAATGATTCGTTATACGTACGATGCGTGCGGCGACAACTTCCACGCATGTCTCTATTGTTGTCTATCACGAGTTGTGGATCTTCCACCCACAAATGAAACAATGGTATAGGGCTACTTGGCTTGTCGAGTCCCAGGTAGGCGCATCCAAACATTTTCGTCGTAGTATATAAAGTCGTTAACTCAAATTCGTTTATTTCTCCAATTGGAGGACATATTAATTTCTGAAACTGCAAGACTGCAACACACAGGAATATAAATATCGTGTTAAATTATAGTAGTATTATACTGTTTGTAATAATAAAAATATGAAGTGGGTACCTATTAAAAATACAATATATTTATTTAAAATTATATTGCATTATTGTAGCCTGTAGGCATAATGATAAATACTAAATTCCTTCAGTTAATTATTGGCGTCATTGCTTATTTATTAATAAATAGTAATTAGTACTAAATTAATATTAGAATATTATAAGAACCATTTTTTAAATTTGTAAGGCTGTGGTTTTCTGAGATTTTATTTTTATTTTTTTAATAGGTACTTACCTATTATATCTCTACTCATATAAAAAAATGTATCATAACTGCAAAACGACCATTTTAATTATACTGTATCATCATATAATAAAAATAGAGTTTTCATGGTACAGGATTTAAGTAAAATTGTTCAGTGGTTTATAATATTATTGGTATACAATTTGAGGGATTTGGTGATGGCATAGGTTCGGGACTTTGAAGCATCTTATATGATGATACACTAATAAGTTTTTGTCAGTGGTACGCCCGTGTCGTTTTAAATCAAAAAATACACCTAATTTATATATCGATTAATTATAACTAAAAATTATATACTTTCGCGTTCCTCTTCTTCTGTTATAATCAAGTCTGCCACCACGGAAGATATAATAACAAGCAAAATGAATATATTTGGTATAATATATCTATCCATCGTGTTTTTTGTCTATTGAGAAAATCGACTAAAATGAACTGTAAGTAAAAAACAACGGATTTAAACAGACGGAATAAAGAAAAAATGATCACGAGCAAAACGGTCGAGAAAAATTGGAAATGTAATTTATCAGTTAGCACACGAATGACGATCCATGCTCTGTGTTCCTTTTTATAAGGCACGTTAGTGGCGGAGGAAGCCGTAGTCTGTAGTTATACTTCCTACCACCAGTTGAGCGTAGATGTTATCGTATATTACTATAGGTATACGAAATCAGGACACTATACATCGAGGGGGAACAATACACCACTGAAACGTGCGTGCCAGGAACATGAATCACAATAAGTATTTTAAGTGCATTAATATAAAAAGATAAAACCTTACGAAATCGAATTCTACCCATAACAACATTTTTCTTTACAATTTTACAACAGTTAATGTTTTCGGCGCCACATTGACCGGTTGTCCTTTATATAGATATATAACAACGTTCGTGCTTGGTTTGAACACGTCCGTACTTGGTATAGTGTATACACTATACAGTATTGTAACGGTGTGGCAGCTATTTAGAATGTGTTAGGTTAGGGGAGGGTGCAAGCATATTGTTTATGCGGCTCCAGTAAAAATATAATTGATGAATAATCTGTTTTCGGGTAGGTTTCAAACATACAGTTAGTACTAGATACAGATATTATTATGTCAGTAAGTTAAATATTAAAATTTTTTTATCTGAATTCAAACTGATCGATCCAGTACGATTTAAGGGCCTTATATAAGGATATATGTCACCCACAGCACCGCTGGTATTTGAAGAATTTAATAATGATATAATAGTATATTGTGTGACAAGGGCGGGAAAGAGTAATGATCAAATTGCACTCTGGTAAAAATCAGGTAGTGATCGAACGAATGGCGGACAATTTCCCCCCGGACATTTTCCCCCCGACTGTTTTTGGAGTAGTAGGACATTTTCCCCCCAATATATATTCGATGTGGACATTTTCCCCCCATTTTTTTTTTAAGTTTATTATTTATTATTTAATAAGAAATTATTTTTTTTCAGTAAAATATAATTTTTTTTATAAATATAATCAATTATACTATAATTACCTATTATAGTAGATGTATATTTTTGATCAATTCAACTACTTAAAACAATAAAATAATAGTAATATTATATTTAAAAGATTGTCTGAATAAAAAATAATAGTACTAGCATACTGTATTATTCGCTAGTAACATTGAAATCTAAAATTGTATCTAAAACCCAATCATTGCTGGGCTGTCAAAAACTATCTTATTATTTGATTTATTAGACTATTAAGATAAGATTCTTCTACAATCTTATATCTTCATGAGCAAAGGTTTTGGACTTTTGTATAAAAAATTTTCAAAGTAGTGGTAGTCATTTAGTAGTGGTTTAGTGATTGTAACTCGTAATTCGTAAAGTGAAAAATATATAAAATAAACATTTTTTATGTTTTATTATATTTATGAAAAAAAAAATGAAATTTTTAACCTATTCTACTTACCTATACACAATTACTTTACGTTTTTATTATATTTATGAAAAAAAAAATATGAAATTTTTAACCTATTTTACTTATTTCCATTTTTTTGTATCTTATTATATTTATGAAAAAAAAAAAAATGAAATTTATAGTATACATTTATAAAGTTAATTGTAGTAGGTATAATTGATTATATTTATGAAAAAAAAATAATTAAAAAAAAGGGGGGAAAATGTCCTACTACGCCAAAAACAGTCGGGGGGAAAATGTCCGGGGGGAAATTGTCCGGATACCGATCGAACTGCGCTCGTTAAAAAAAAGATTTAAAATTTAAGGTCACTATGGACGTTCAAATGTATTATTATAATAATAATTGAAGATTTTAAAAAAAAATTTAAAAAAAAAAACTAAATAAATATAGTAAATAAAAAAAAAACAGAAATAGTAGTAATAACATAGTTGCAGGGGCGTAGTGGCCGGTCTGGAAATGGGAATTTTCCAGATGGCCTTTACCATACTATGGCCTGGTGGCCTGGCCATTTTGTTAGATTTTTTTTTTTTTTTAAATTAATTTACAAAATATTAGTTAATGCTAAATGCATCAAAAATTTGTTTCTATTAAATTATTGTATTAAAAATATTATTAATGAAATAATAGTAAATTGTAATTGCCTCGTACAATCGTATACTCTTATGAGAAATCTTTGGATAAAAAATTACAAAATATTTGGTACATAAATATAGATATCAAATAAAATCAAAGCAATATAATATTTATATGGGTCGATTATTTTTATAAAAAAACACCCAGATAGTGTGTGGTCTCGGTTCAATCCAACAGAACTAATTACCTACTAAGAAATTATAAATTACTGATTCGACGCATTTCCGCATGTTGAAACCAGCAAATTGTTTATTTAGCCCCTGTAGCCTGTAGGGCTGTTGAGTGGCGACGAATATAGCAATGCCAAATGGCTAATAATAACTAATAATACCATTGATTATAAGTACTACTAATGTCTAATACTAGTATTTTGTATATTTTATAACAATCAATGATAATACATTAATACATATTAATTTTGTATTATTGGTCACTTTACATTGGTCATTGTTATTTTTATAAAGAATATCTGTAATAAACCCAAACAAATTAGTCATTAGTGTTTGATATTTGTCCCCTGGTCACTGGTGTTGAGTGTGTCGACGGTGTCGTTTATAATGTATCCACGTTTTTCCTTTTAAGTAATTTTGTGTACCTTAAAAGTATTTTATTTACTATTTAGTTAAATGTTCTAGTTTACTAGTTATGACTTATGTTGGGATTATTTTTAATTTTAAAAAAAATTGAACAACTTATTATTATTTAAATTGCTCATAAATAAAATTAAGAAAATATATAAGAATTTCCAACACATTTGTAATAAATGTAATTAATTTGCCTAGTGCATTTCCTCATTGATAATTTATCTTGCTCTTATATTTCAATATTTTGAATAAAATGTACTTGTATTAATTTAATTTAACTTTTTTCAGATCAAACATTAAACAGTAATAATTTAGAATCTAAAATCTCTATAGATAGTGATAATGTTTTCGGATTTTCAGGTATTAGTACTTAGTGGTATATTAATACAATGTGTTAGAAGATATAGAAGTTAAAAGAAATAGCAAGATAGTGATTGAAATACTTTTCTAATACTGAAAGTAATTTTGGAATAGGCAAATATAAAAAACCAAATTCGAGCGTAGCGAGAAACAAAAAATTTGGTGGGTGGCCTGGATAAATTTTAAACTCCCGGCCTGGATTTGGTTCCCACTCCGCCCCTGCGATAGTTGGCTAATAAGGTAGAATAATAAACAAAAAAAGTAGGTTAGTGGATGTCGCTCTGCTGTACAGTAGATTACAAGTGTTTCGATGTATAAAGAATTGTATTAAACTTGAATTCAATGATACAATATCATTGAATAAAAAAAACGATTCTGAGAGGAGACGGTTTATCAGTCTGGATATTTTAATTATTTATTATATCCTGCAATAGTTGAATTTATATTATTATAAAAGGTATTATTATTTTTTATTCGTTTCTATAGTGATAAACAAAGCGTTAGAAATTAAAATCTCATTTTATAGCGGTTTTTCGTAATTTCACAGTGGTTTTTCCTGTGAAATTAAATAACTATTGCGAAAATCGAAAATGACCTTTCTAAAGTACAAATTTGCTAAAAATTAAGCTACTATATGTTGTCCCTGTATAATGGATATGGTGTTAATTTTGAATTCAATGATATAATATCATTGTATAAGAAAAACAATTCTGAGCGGAGACAGTATATCAGTCTAGGTATAAAACCTATTAATAATATATATATAAATATATAGTATTAAAAAAATATATTATTATTAAAATATAATAGGTAAATATTATAAGATATATCTTATGATATATCGTATAAGAAATCTTGTATAACATTTTAAAATCTTAGATTTTAAAATAAAAAATTTTACGAATTCTTAACTCAAAATAATTTGCTAATTTTCGTGATTTTTCCATATTTTGTCAACTTTTGAACTTTAACCAAAAGTTTATGTTTTGTAAGGGCCATGGTACAGATTTCAGTGTTTGGTTGAGTCAGGGGATACGCGTGATAGGCGTCTGGACTAAAAAAGATCGCTTTTCAACGCTTCAACCATCATCAAAAACTAAACTTTCTTTGCATGAGTGACAAAAAGCTAGACGCTCTATTTTGGACTGCCCAAAAACAACAAATGTTATTTTGATCAAATGTGTGCGTTTTTACATATTATAAAAAGTAATTCGACATATAGTTGAACGTTTTACGTTTAAAACAAATAAAAGGTTTAATATTATTTAAAGTAAAGGTAGTGGCGGAGGGATATATACGGGATATTGTCATATTGATGTAGCCTAATTGCAGTGAACTGTAACACAAGGTCAACATTTTAACATCTCGAGTGCAATGTTACCGAATATTTTATCAACAATAATAATCAGAGGTATATATCAGAAGTATGCATATTATTGCGATTATTGATATTATTATTATTATTATTATTACATGGAAATAATTGTAGGTTCCACTATGATTAAAACTAATATTGAAATATGTCTCGAGCTCAGGGAGCGAAGGAAACAAAAAATAAGTTACATTCTGCGTAATACCAACTTGAACTTAAGATCCTATAAGTTCATGCAAGTCCTTATTGATAGGTACAAGATTATTATTTTCAGAATATTCCAGGTATAACTAAAAACTACGAAAGAAGTTTCACTTCATCCAATCGTGCTTATACACACGACACACACACTTTTTTTGATAAAGGTAGATAAACTTATAAAGAATCTTGTCTTGAATTTTCAAATTAAAGATTTATAAACAAAAATAATTTCTGAACCTAGTGAACTGGGCGTGCCTGTTATTACGATAAGTAGATTCCATTTATTCAATTTTTCCATTTACTTTATT